TCCTCATATAAGGTCTGCTTCGTTTTCTTTCAAACCCGATGTGGGATGCGCTGCATCATCCACCCCCTTGTGGGCCCAGCGGTCACCGCTGGCACATGGGCTGGCTCTGATACCAACTGGTGCAGACCCTAGTAAGATATTGTCCGCTTTGGGCTACTTCCGCCACCCGCAAGGCTTTGTTCTTGGCTGGGCTTCAATACACACCCACCAAAACGCGTCTTACTAGTGAAGGTATCCACATCCTCATATAAGGCCTGCTTCGTTTCCTTTCAAACCCGATGTGGGATGCGCTGCATCATACTCCTGGAAAAATGGCTCCTCAGAATTCAACAGAGGATGAATTTTTGTTCTATCTGTCTCCACTATCTTGGCTGAAACTTCATGAAATTCAATTCATTCTGCTCGAGCGCCCTTAACTATCTGACACTTACCTTGTTCAACTTCGTATGCTAATTGCCAACCCAATCATCAATAAATTAATGTATATATTAATTAAGAAGGATAAAAGATGACATTACTAGCTTAAATTGTCTATACTAAACATAATGAATAAATAATTATTTTACATATTCAATAATTTTATCACAATGCGAAAATCATATAATTTTTGAATGAGCACACGAATCTCTTTTACGATTCAGAGTATTTTTTTTCGACATCGATTTTTTCTATTTTAAATAATGAATAAATAATTTTATTTACATATTCAATAACTTTATTGCTTGTTTATTGCGAGAAAACGGAATTTTTTTTAATGAGTGCACAAATCTCTTTTGTGATGTAAATTAATTTTTTTTTTTCTACATTGACATTTGCCGTATGTAGCATACAATAGTTGGAACGAGTCTGCTACCTTAACTAATGGAAATATGACTTATACAGAGGATGTCTGTACATTTGATACACATATAAAATATGATATCAGTTCGCCAATTCCCCGAAATCCATTCATTGCTTCTCACGTCATCCATCTCTTCTCTCGCAGGCCAACCGTCGTGTTGCTTTTCTTTCCAGCCTTGCTATGGCCAGGGTTGGAGGCCTTTGCTTGCCCCACTTCTAGCCTTGAGGGAGTTCGAAACGACGGCATCTCGCGCAGCTCAGCCTCTCTTTCAGGTCAAGATGGGAGTTGTCGTGCTGCCTTATCTTCTCCAGCCCTGGCCGCAGTCGAAGCCCCTATGGCCTCTCGTCTGTCTTCTTTGAGTCCTGTCGGTGCCTTTCCCGTTCGGCCGAGCTCAAACGCAAGGTGTGGTCCCCTCCTAGGCATCGATTTTGGGTCTCCTCTGGCGTGGCTCGCGAGACTTTTCCCTAGGAATCCTCCCTCGTTTGACTGCTCGAGAGCTCACATTTGGACTGAGGCTTTCTCCTTGCCCAATCTAACTAGCTACTTATCGTTGGAATTTTTCGGTTTGGGGTCTAGCTATGTAACTCTTCTAGGCCGCGGATCGTAGGGTTTGATTGTTGCAGGTTTTGTTTAAGGTGTTGATCTTAGTAGCTATTGCAGTTTGCTTGCGTGAAGTTGGGGAGGTAGTATTTTATTGTAGGTGTGTGTATTTTAGTGTTTAGTGTAGATATGATTCTCCCCTCGTAGGAGTCTTTTCTCTTCTTTTGGAGTGTTTTTTATTTTAGCTTTTGTTTGGATTCAGTTGATGCATGTCGGTTTTAGATGTTGTTGTCTCCGTCGAGTGCTTGTACCCTATTCTAGTTGGTTCTAGTTTTTGAAAGTTCCATGCAAGTCAAAAATGTAAAAGTCTTCCAACTACCTTCAGCACAC